TCCTAACCTCTTACAGTTTCCTGAGGTGGAAACTGTGTGTGTGTATGGCCAATTCTGGCTGTGCAACCAGGACAATGAAGGCAAGAGGGTTTTTTTATTTTTGTGCCTTTGCTGGTCCCCCAAACCTTCCCTGCTTACTTGATTACAGACAGCATTACTTCCCTTCATCTTCAGCAATGGTCAAAACCTTTTGGGGAGCATGGATCTTTTTGAGAGATTGACAAAAATTAAGAACATTTTTTGAGAAAAAAAAAATGCCTCCCTGGATTTCTGAGCTGCCCAATACTCAAAAGTAGCCCCAGATTTGCATCTCAGATCTGGAAGATACTTTTTTTTTAAAAGCTAAGTGGATTATAATGGCTGAGTAGACAGAAGATATCCCCAGAAGTTCACTTCGTACTAAGATGTGGATGCTTCGTCTTCCTCACCCCAGCAGAATCCACTTGTATCTCATTACTCTCTTTCATCTTGAGCAGTGAGTGAAGGCTTTTTTGGCCATGGCTGTCTTTGAGAGACTGACAAACACTAAACATCTCCTTTGAGAAAAATGTACGTATTTATTTATTTATTTAAAAATTTTATTTATTTATTTGACAGAGAGAGAGAGAGAGAGAGAGAGAGACAGTGAGAGAGGGAACACAGGCAGGGGGAGTGGGAGAGGGAGAAGCAGGCTTCCCGTTGATTAGGGAGCTGATGTGGGGCTCGATCCCAGAACCCTGGGATCATGACCTGAGCCGAAGGCGGATGCTTAATGACTGAGCCACCCAGGAGCCCCCAAAATGCACATATTTAGAATAATTTGTGTGTAATCCCAAGGTGTTTATACTCCTCCTGTAGCTCATCTGTGGGTCCCAGGTGAGGAACTTCTTTTTTCTTTTAATTTTTAAAAAAGATTTTATTTATTTATTTGACAGACAGAGATCACAGAGAAGCAGGCAGAGAAAGAGGAGGAAGCAGGCTCCCTACTGAGCAGAGAGCCCGACGCGGGGCCCGATCCCAGGACCCTGAGATCAGACCTCAGCCGAAGGCAGAGGCCTTAACCCACTGAGCCACCCAGGCGCCCCCCAGGTGAAGAACTTTTAATCTGAAAGATGCCCTTTCTTAGTCTTTATGGCTTCTAGTGTCTTTTGACATGACCCTGAATGCTTAGGTATTATTCATATTCCAGCAGCTGGTCGGCATCTGAGGGAGTCCATGGGTTTCCCAGGAGGGGTTTCTAAGATGTCATTCAGATGCTAGGGAGCAGCCCAAGAGATGGAGTTAACTGGTACTCCTCTAGGTTCCACTAGCTGGAGATCCAAAGAACACTGGTGGTCCGCTTCCTGGCTCCCAACTCTAACTACGCCCTCCCCTGTGCAACCGCTGCTCTCAAGTGAGGCACCCGAGGCTCATCTTAGTTAATTCTCGGCAGGAAATCTAAGTGTGTATTGCAGGGAAAACAAGTGTGAGATACATGTACGACTTTCTCGAACCAGCATCCATGACAGACGTTGCTAATCAATCAGAGTTTTCTTTCCCATTGGGCCCAGATATGGTCTTATAATCTTTTCAAATAACAATTTTGGTAGACACCAGCAATCCATCAGTGTTGGCATGTAGGATGTAATGTATTTACCATCCTGGATGCGGGGGGTGGAGGGAAATATGGGCTGGGCACTTGGGATCTAGACTCCCTTCTTGCCAGTCTAGGGTCTCAGACCCCACATCCCAGCTGACTTAGAGCTCCAGGCCTCCGTTGGTCTTGGAGAATCCCCAGACATCATCATCTGGTTGGCCAGCCTACCCTGGGGCTGACCAGAGTCTTTCTGTATTCCCCTGAATTAATTTACACATTCTCCAGCTAAAATGTCTTAACACACTTAAGAAAAGTCAGTAAGGGTGAATATTTATGCTTTATTAATGGTTGGCTATCAACTTCATGTCCCACAGTCAAAAACTAGCCTTTTGTTTGTTTATATTAAAAAAATACAAGAATTTCTATGTCTGTTTTACATCAACTGCATTTTCTTTCTTTCTTTCTTTCTTTCTTTCTTTCTTTCTTTCTTTCTTTTTTTTTACTTTTTGACCCCTTCTACTCCCTTACTCTGGCAACCACCAGTCTGTTTTCTGTATCTATACACTTGGTTTTTGTTTTGTTTTTGATTTTTAGATTCCACATATGGTAAGATAATATAATATTTGTCTTTCTCTGACTTATTTCACTTAGCGTAATGTCCATCCAGGTTGTTGCAAGTGAGATTTCATTGCTTTTTATGGCTGAGTAATATTCCATCGTGCACATGTACCATAATTTCTTTGTCCATTCATTCATCAGTGGACACTTAAGTTGCTTCCCTATCTGTTGTAAATAATGTTGCAGAGAATGATGTGCTTTTGCAAATAATGCTGCAAAGAACATGGGAGGACGTGTATCTTTCTGAGTTAAGTGTTTTCATTTTCTTTGTATAAATACTCAAAAGTGGAATTACTGGAATTACTGGTAGTTCCATTTTTAAGCTTTTGAGGAACCTCCATACTGTTTTCCATAATGGTTGGACCAGTTTGCATTCTCACCAACGGTGCACTAGGGTTCCCTTTTCTCCACTTCCTCACCAACACTTGTTACTTTTTGTCTCTTTAGTAAGAGCCAAAGGTGAGGTGATAATCTCTCTTTTGGTTTTGACTTATATTTCCCTGATGATGCATGATGTTGGGCATCTTTTCATGTGTCTGTGGGTCATCTGTAGATCTTTGGGAAAGTGTCTATTTAGATCTTCTACCTATTTTTTAAAAAGGATTTTACTTATTTATTTGATAGAGACACAGCACAGCTGGAGAGGTAACACAACAGAGGGAGTAGGAGAGAGAGAAGCAGGCTCCCTGCTGGACCTTGGGATCATGACCTGAGCCGAAGGCAGACACTTAATGATTGAGCCACCCAGGTGTCCCAGATCTTCTGCCCATTTTTATTTTATTTATTTATTTTTAAAAAGATTTTATTTATTTATTTGACAGACAGAGATCACAAGCAGGCAGAGAGGCAGGCAGAGAGAGGGGGAGGAGGAAGCAAGCTCCCTGCTGAGCAGAGAGCCAGACTCGGGGCTCAATCCCAGGACCCTGGGATCACGACCGGACCGGAGCTGAAGGCAGAGGTTTTAACCCACTGAGCCATCCAGGAGCCCCTTCTGCCCATTTTTAATGACATTATTTGTTTCTTTGCTGTTAAGTTGTTCGGCATCTTTTTTCCCCTCTGGCCAGCCCAGCCCCAAGCCAGAAACCCAAGTTGAACACTTCATTTTCTCTCTCTGGAACTGTCAAGAATGTTTACATTCTTACAACTCCTGAATCCATGCTCCATACCTCTTCAAGCATACATGCGTCATATCATCCCCTTTTTAAAATCCTTCAGTTCTTTAAAAGAGGAAATACACTTTTTTTTTTTTTTAAAGTAGGCTCCATGCCCAGTGTGGAGCTTGACTCCATAACCCTGAGATCAAGTGTTGCATGCCCTACTGACTGAGCCAGGCAGGCACCCCCCGCAATGCTTTTGGAAATCTGCATTTTTAACCATTGCATGTACAGCCATTTACAACGTGGCCCTGCCTTCTTTTCTAGTTTCCCTCCTCACCATTCTCTGGTGCTCTGACAAATTCTTACAAGGCATCATTTCCTGATACTCTGGGCTTTCACAAACATCCTCAACCTAGCTCATGCTGTCCTTCCTGTTTGGAATACTTCCCCACACCCACCCAGCCCTTTCCTCTACCGGCTGAACTCCTACTTTTCTTTCAATACCCTTCTCAAATGTATTCAGGTATGCTGCGTGTCTGCTCGGTGAAACCCTCTCTGTCCCACGCTGGGTTGACGATTCCATTGCCCCCTCCCTCCTGAGCTCACCGTGCATATCTCTATTCTGGTACATATTACTCTGTCTAGTAATTGCTTGTTTACATGTGGGATGGTATCAGAAGCACGCCAGTGTGCTGGCATCCAACCCAAGACAAGGCACAGAGCGGGGACCTTGTTGACATGCGCTGCGTGTGACTTGTGGTGGCAAAGACCCCTAGCCTTCTCTTCCTGTGCCCCAAGGCAGCATTTGCTCTATTACCCTATCTTGCCAAGTGAAAGCAGCCTTCGTCTTTTAAATGATGGCTTTCCTCTTCCTTGCAGAAAGGGCACCTCATTGAAATTCACCAGGAATGGGCAGTTTCTGACATGAGTCTCTTGGCTGGTCATAGATACAGCTGCCAACACTGGTGCTCTTGGAGACAGAAGGGTTTTTGATCATGAACTGCAAGGATACTTTTTACCACTAAATTTAGACCCCTAGGGAAAAACAGCCTTTTCCCTTTCTCCACTGGCCTCTCTCAGGCCCTTCTGGCTCCTCCCTCCACTTTTTTTCTTTTCTTTTCTTTTTTGGTTCATGAGGCTGGGGAAGTGAGAGGGCTGCGAGCCCCCCCAGTGATGGTGGAAATGGGTTGTGAGAGAAGCTTGCTCACTGTGGTTTGGGGAAGAGCTGGTTGGGTGGGAGGGGGATGGAAGCTTTCACTTAGAGCTCAGTCAGTGCAGGTGACTCTCAACTGTATCTTAAAAAAAAATTTTTTTTATTTGTTTGTTTTAGAGAGAGAGAGCTTCAGGGGAGGGGCAGAGGGAGAGCAAGAGAGAATCCCAAGCAGACTTTGCTGCTGAGCGTGGAGTCTAACATGGTGCTGAGATCACAACCTGAGCCAAAATCAAGAGTCTGATGCTCAACTGACTGAACCACTGTGGTGCCCCTCTCATCTGTATCATTTGATAAACATGGATGATGGGCTCCTCGGTGAGCCCAAGGTGATCCAGAGGCTCAAGGCAAGATGGTGACCTTGGAAATAACAATAAACATAACATTAGTAAGAAGAATATATCACCATGTAGCCCTGACTCTGTGCTAGGTACTGCTCTAAATGCTTTTCATATATTAGCTGCTTTGGGTTCTTAGCACAACCTTTTGTGGTGAGTTTATTATTATCCCTATTTTACAGATGAGAAAATGGAGGCCACAGAGAAATTATCACCTCATGCAGTTCTCTGGGTAAATGGGGAAACTAAGGCTGGCCCAGACACCACTGGAAGGAGGTCATGGATGAGACTGTATTATGAGTATAAGAAGAAGAGGAACATTGGAAATCCCAAGGACATTCTGGCTGTAGCCTTGAGAGAATTATTTTATTTCTCCAAACCTATTCTTTCTTATCTAAACAGTAGGATAATTATGCCTTATTGGAAGCTTCAATGCAGGGACCAGGTGAACTCATAAAAGTAAAATGCCTAGCGTATGAGAGATAATCAATAAACAGTAGCTGTCATTATTAATTACCTAATTGCTCCCTTTTTTGTGCTCTTTCTGTTTTAGATGCTTTCTTTCCAGAGCCTTATCAGACTATTTTAATGATCTTATCATGTATCTGTCTTGCTGTTATATTCTGAGCCACTCAAAGGCAATAGTCAGCTCTCACCCACTTCTGAGCTCTTTAGTTGACAGATGGGAGGTTCCATATGAAGGGTTGAAAGGAAGCTGTTTGCCCAAGTGGACAAGCTAATAAGTGCAAGAGCCCAGGTCCCTCCCCAAGATGTTGTGCAGACTTGTATGATCTGTGATCCATGGTCAAGGAGGTGGGTGGTGGAAGACACCATCAAGGACCTGTGCCTGCCTTCATGGGAAGTTGCAGGTGGCTGGGGCATGTAAGAAGGAAAATGGGGTTGGTAGTCAATGAGCTGTTCTGAGCCTGAGCTCATAGGCTCAGCAAGGAGGGTCTCTACAGAAGATGGACAAGACAGGGCCTAGTGAGCAGTGAGATGTGGAGGTGAACAAAAGGGAGGAGTCCAGCTTGACTCCAAGGTTACCTTGGAATACAGGAGGGATATGAGAATATGTGCATAGGAGGGGAGGATCTTGAATTCGGTTTTGGCAATGCTCAAGGAGAAGAGTTTATAGGACAGGTCTCTAAGGGTCTCTAGCAAACATTTGCCTGTAAGGAGTTCCAGGCAGGCTGCTGGTATCTGCTACAACCTATGATCCTATGACATGGTTGTTCACTGAGCTGGCAAATTATAGCTCTAGAATTGGATTGTAGGACTTGAATCCTGGCTCTACTGTAACTTCCTAGCTGTGTGTGACTTTGGGCATGTTACTTAACCTATGTGGGTCTCAGTTTCATTTTCTGTAAAAGGAGGATGATTGGAAATTATTTCCTAGCATATTGTTGTAAAGGTCAAATGAAATAAAATAAATCAACGATGGAACATAGTAAGAGCTCAATAAATGATGCCCATTGTTTTTTTTTTTTTTAACATTTTATTTATTTATTTGACAGAGAGAGATCACAAGTAGGCAGAGAGGCAGGCAGAGAGAGATGAGGAAGCAGGCTCTCCACGGAGCAGAGAGCCTGATGTGGGGCTTGATCTCAGGACCCTGGGATCATGACCTGAGCTGAAGGCAGAGCCAACCAGATGGCCCAATGATGCCCATTGTTATTAGTTGTTCCTGCTGCCAGAATGCTGACCATCCCCCCTTGTCTTGGCACTTTCCTCTCTATTTCAGCCTTGCCCATCCCACCAGTACTAGATACTCGGCTATTCATCATAGGTACTCTAAACTTCTCCATCCTTCAGAGACTCTTGTTCCTTAAGCATTCCTTCAACTTTTTGGGCAACTGACCAAGGAGAAGCAGAGAGTTGTCACTTGTGTTCCTCCAGGGAGATGTCACTTGAGTTCCTCCAGGGAGATGTTACTTGAGTTTTAATTGTATCTCTAGTGCCTTGACCCATGGGGGTGACTAATGGTGGGAATGTTTGACAAGATGATAGGGTTAGGACAGTTATTTTGGGGGCAGAGAGATCTTCCTGGTGCTGGTCAGACCAACACATTCAGTAGTCATCTACTGTGTCTTCATGTATGAACATTGATAATGAATATAAAGCTCAGACTGAGAGGGAATCTGGAAGTTCTCACTTGGGATTGAGTGGGGTTGGGACAATTCCTGCCCTTTTGATTGAGAGGTCTTCTGGCAAACTCTGTAGTCCTCTCAGTAGGACCAGGATTCTCTGGGATTATTCTATCTCTCCCTCTGTTCTACTCCCAGCTTCCAGGAAGGCAGGGAAGTAGTGGACAACTACTTGATGTATAACACATGTCCAAAATGTGGGAGGGAGGGAGGAAAAAGCCATTACCCAAGGACTGGGAAGCCTGTGTTTAAGTCCGACCTTACCTTTACCCAGTGTGTGGGCATAGACAAGCAACTTCCCTTCTCTGAGCCTAAGTTGCCTATGACATGGGGTGGTTAAACCTGACTCCTTTAGCAGACCGAACATTTCGACTAGTATGTACCCTTGGCTGCTGCATAAATTGAAGCCCAGACTGCAAAGGGGCTTGCTCGAGGTCATGAAGTCAGAGTTTGAATGCAAAACTGAGTCACGTGGTAGTGCTTAGTCAAGCTTTGCAAGAGGGTAGGGGATGGTGTCATATTGGTATGGTACAGATCTGATTTACTTGCTTAGGCTCTCAGACTCATGGAAGGGAAGGAGACTCCCCCTCTGCTGAATCATTTGCTGCTACACTGCCAAAGCCAGTGGGGATGCCTAGAGGAAGCTATAAGGCTCAGAGACTTTGATAGTTTTATATGTGTTTTAGGGGTCACAAAGCTCTGGTCACACACAAGGTGCAGGCTGCCTTTGAAGCTCTTCTCAGTGACTCTCTGCAAAGTTTCAGGTCTCAACTCAGCTACAAAATGAATGAACTGCTCATCTCACCAGCACAGAGCACATTTGGGCCAAACTCCTTGCTCCGTTTTATGGGGCCAATACATCTACAGAATCACTTACCCATCACTCTGCAGATGGAATGCATTATTTTGGAAAAGTTTCTTTTCCCTTTTCCCCCCAAAACTTTTATTCCCTGGTGGAAATGGTTTATCAACGTCTTTAAAAAACCGCTCAGATCTTCTTGGCAACCCCTGATACCATAAAAGAGTGGCAGTACGAATGCAAATGAATTGGAGGGCATTAAAAAACCCTCTTGCTTCGGCAGCTGAAGTGGAGAAGGGCCGGATGATGGATAGCACGCGGCTTTCCACTGAGCGATTTTGCTCTTTTTACGGCTGCCAATGGCTGATGTATTTCATCTTTTGTTTCCTTTACTGCCGCTTAAGCAAGCACCCTCAGGCTGGGGGTATGTCCCCAGGCACCCACTTCATCTTGGCCCCCGGGGATGGCTTCAGCCAGCTGTTTTGTACTTAATGCCTGATTCAGGGAAGGCACGGGATGGCCCAGCTGGATGGGGTCCTCAGGGAATGCCCCTCCTCTAATTGCTGAGCTAGGAGCAGAGATTGCCGAGGAGGTGGAAATCTTCCCTGAGCCACTTGTCATTCCACCTGTGTTTATTGAGGCCAGCTGCATGCCCAACACTGTGCCAGGCACAGGGAGGGCACCACGAAGTGGAGGGCACAGCCCTGACTCCAGTGATCTTTCCCTCCTATTGGGGGCAGAACTCACCCCTGAGCAGCCATACACACTTACATGCACATGGTGAAGGCTTGCAAGGTTTCCTGTATCCACTCTCATCTGCATGTGTTTGGGCACATGCTCACACTCACCTACACCCCAGCACAAATGTATGTGGACACATTCACACACACACAGATGCAAACATACAAACCCGAGTGTGCCCAGAAACACACAACAAAGCCACCAACTCTCAAACCCTTGGGCACCTGCTAACATGCGGACACAAACACAAAAGCATTCTCCTGTACACTCACACGTGAGGACGTTAAAAGATAATACAAAACCATATATGACCTGAAGCCAGAACAAGAGGGCAAATGAGAGAGGATTCAGGGGATGTTGCAGAGAAAATAGCGCTGATGTAGGAAGTTTGCTTTCGAGACTCATCTCAGTGTCCTACTAGCTGTGTGACCTTAGTCTCTTGACCTCTCTGAGCCTCAGCTTCCTTATTTGATTTTTATTTTAATTTTACAGAGCAAGAGAGAGAGAGAGAGAGAGAGGGAGAGGGAGAGAGAAAGAGGTGGGAGGGGCAGAGGGAGAGAATCTCAAGCAGACTCCCTGCTGAACGTGCAGCCTGACATAGGGCTCCATCTCAAAACCCTGAGATCATGCATGACCTGAGCCAAACCAAGAGTTGAATGCTTAACCAACTGAGCCACCCAGTTGCCTGCAGCTTCCTTATTTGACAGGAGGCCCCTCCAGATACCGGAGCCTATGATTTTGTGGAATCAGAAGTTCAGAAGTCAACGTGAGCTGATGTAATAATAGTTATTGGAATACCAGCAATAGCTAATTACATTGAACTCTTAGTGGGTGCTCTGCTCTGTGTTTAGCACTTGATATAGATTCTTTTACTTATTTTATTTTATTTTTCAAGATTTAATTCATTCATTTGAGAGAGAGACGGAGAGAGCACACAAGCAGGGAGAGAGGCAGAGGGAGAGGGAGAAGCAGGCTCCCTGCTGAGCAGCCCGGAGCCTGATATAGGGCTGGAACCCGGGACCTAGAGTCATGACCTGAACCAAAGGCAGACACCCAACCATCTGAGCCACCCATGCACCCCAATATACATGATCTCTTTTAATCTCTGCAATAATCCTAAAAGATGAGTACAGTTATTAGCTATGTCTTACAGGAGATGAAACCAGTTCAGAGAAGTGAGGTTACAAGCCCCGGGTCACACAGCAAACAGTGGTAGAGTCTGTATTGGAACCCAAAGAGGTTGACTCCAGGGCCCACGCTTCTGGCTAAATGGACATGTGCTGAGTTGGACTGATGCTGGGTACTGGGAGCCAGGAAATGGACATTTCCTACCACTGGGGCCACAGTGAGGCAGCCCCGAACCAGGCAATTGGTGTGGAGTGTTGCTTGATGCTGGGGAGCTTGGGTTCCTGGAGACCCACCTCTGTGTGCTTCTGACAGCTCTCACTGGGTACTCTTGTGGACCAGGGCAGCTCAGCCTGGCCCTGGGGGTGTGCCACTAGATGGGATTTCTCTGTCTTGGGCAGGGACCCTGTATCCAGATAAGGA